TTAATTTATTTATATTTTTTAAAAAACTAATATTATATTAAATTATAAATTATAATTCAAATCATCACACAATACATAAACACACTCTTATATTTATATATATATATATATATATTATTAATCTCTTTGCAGGTGGTTATGACTTCTGCTGTTGTAATTATCCTTGTCAGAGCGCCTAGTTACTGCCTCTGCCACAACCTTTTCTTTTTTGGATTTCTCACATTTTTCGTATTGGAGTATATAGTCTTTTTTGTTATTAGGGTTATTTATCTTTTTATATTTGCGTCTTAAGTTTATTTTAAAAATACATCTTTAATTTTTAATTTCATCAAAATATATTGACAAATCTAGGAATTAGAGTTATTTTATACATTTTCAGGCTTATAGTTAGCTCATCCAATGACTTAGTTGTTGATTTTTTATTTTATTTGTTCAACTTTTTAGTTCTTCAAATTTTATTTACTATACAAGTATATACCTTTTGCCATTCAACATGTAAATTTTACCTAAAAAATATCTAAAGCACCCTTACATACAAGAAAGAAAAAGTTTAAAAATAAATCTTCAAAAAATATATAAAAATAGAAAAACCTCAAAAAATGATTTTTTTCTGATCATTTTTGAAGTTAAAATCAAGTGTTCACGGTATAAAGTATGAATTTGTATATTAAATATAATATGAATGTATACTTTTGATGAGATTAAAAAGTGAAAATATAATTTCTAAATAAACCTGAAATGCAAGATACGAAAAGACAAGTATTAAGTAACTCACTCAGAAAATCTATACTTTTCTATAGTAGAAATGCTTATGACATTTATTTAATGTAGCACGTTAAAAAATTTAATTATCTTTAGACTATTGTTGTGGCATGACAATATCAATGTCAATGTTTAATAAATAATAATGACATAATAAAAAAAAAAAAATTTACACGTTAAGTGAAAATAGGGTTTTCCTAACAGCTAAATAATTACAAATTTTTCATTTCAAAAAAAGAGTTATAAAGGGTGTGTTTGGAATTGATTTTTACTTATTTTTTAAAGCATTTTGCCCATCTTTTTGTTGAGAATGATGTCTTAGAAGCGTGAGATGTAGTAGGATATTAATTATTTATTTAATAAAAGAATTTATTCATCATTTTATGTGTATATATTTGTGAATATTTTATGAATATCAAATGAAAATTATGTGATTATTTATGTGACCCTAAACAATGTATATAAGTGTTGTATGCGAGAGGATAATATTTAAGGATAATAATCAAAAAGCGATGTTCGTAATAAATTTAATTAAAGTCAGGAATCTTTAATTAGAACATTACTAATACATGTCATTCCCATTTAGAATGGAATGATGTTATCCGCACTGTTAATATGACAAGATATTAAATGAATGTATTACGCATAATGAGATTATGTGGAACAAAGACACATACACAATATGAATTTCTAATTAAGTCTACCGATGGTCATATATAAAATGATTTTAATCCTGAGTTCTTAACAAACTCATATTTGTGGATTTGTGTCTTTGATTTACTCGGTACGAATTTCGAGACCCTTAATCCTATTCCTTGTATTTTGGAGACATGATGAAGTTGGTAGCCGATAATGTTATTATACGAGATGAAATCCATTCCTTATTGAGAAATAAGCAAATAAATAATTCTCTTGAGTGTTGATTCGGTACTTGGATTACTAAGAGCGCTCTGGTTCATGAATGTGTTTTATGAATCACTATCCATTAGAGCACCAATGGTACTTAAGGATGAATATATAATTAGAGAGGTTAACGGATTTTACCTAGCTCTAATTATGAATTATTTATGGAGGATTGATCTATATGCAGTGACTATATCAAATGGACACTTCACAGTTTAGAAGTAATTTATGTCCATAATTTTGAGAGTGCAATTCCAAGTTTATAGTGGAGTAACTAATAAAATTAACAGAATTAATTAATCAATTAAAGTGTTTAATTAATTATTAATTTTATTGGAGCTCAGAGTTATAGGTCCATTAGTCCCCGCGTCATCCTAGGAATTCTACAAGACACAAAGGGCAAAATGAGAATTTTAAAATTACAGAATTCTAAAATTAAACACTCGAGAATAATTAATTGAGAATTAATTATAAATTAAATAATGTGATTATTTAAATTTGAATTTGAATTTTAGATCACTTATGTGAAGGTGTTCACATAGTGTGAACGCAAGGCACAGTGTGAACACATCTAGATTTATCAATTTAAACTTATTTGATAAGTTGTTCAATTTAGAATTCAAATTAATTTAAGTTTTACTTAAATTAGAATTTGACTTAGAGTCAAAATTGGACTGCAGGATAAATGATGATTTTCTTTTCCTTCCCTACTTGTATTTGGCGCCTACCATAGGGATAGGATCACCTAATGTTGGCCGGCCATATTGAGGATAAGGAGTGGGAGATTTTTGTTCCAAATTCAAATAGGAGATAATTAACAAACTTTATCTTGGAGATAAAGACTGGATTCTTTCTAAAAGTTTGACTTCTACTCTATAAATAAGAGAATAATAGAAAATTGTGGGACACAATTTTTGTCCTAATTTTAAGAGTGGTGGCCGAATTCTCCAATATAGTGAGAGGAAAAATTTTTCTATAAAAATTCCACATCATGCATGCGTTGGTATTTGTGAAAATTCGAGTGTTTATTCTAACCCGTTTTGTCTCAGGTGTGCCCACACACACATCTTCATGGATCTTAAGAATTGACGTGGAAGACATTGGTTCTAGACACAAGGCTTTGGAGTAAGGATTATTCGTGGTCAAAGAACTCAAGTTATCATCCTAATCGGCAGCTAGGTATAATTCCTAATTGAGTTCTTATTAAATAAAGTAATGTAATTAATTTATTCGTGTATAAATTAATATAATCTACAGAGTATCTCAAAGATTTTATGAAATTTTTTGTTATACACGATCCGCTAACCTCACACTTCCGCATCCGAATTCGATTCAGAAACCAACACTTTTGAGGTTCAAAAATGAAACCGGTCTGCAAACTGTGTTTGTTTAGCAAATATTTTAAAAACGAAAACGAAAATAAAAAATAGTGAGAATGATTTTTGTGAATGAATTAGAAAATGAATGAAAGTTATTTTCTCTTTTCTGCTTTCATTTTCTAGTACTTATCAACAATGTTATAATATACTAATTAATAATTGTAATCAAACACGATTTCATTTTTGTATTATACTCAAAACAATATCTTAAAAAACTAATTAAACACAATTTCAGAATCAGTCCCAAAATAATTCTTAAAACAATATTGTTTTTACTTTTGTATTAAAAACAAATTCATTTTAAAAACGTTACCAAATGGCCCAAAATTTCGTTCACAGTAATAACACCGTGTTTGGAATTGATTTCATTTTTTATTTTTCACATTTTGTGAAAAAGAAAAAATAAAAACGATTCTAAAACGACGTTTGGCGTAATAAAGACAAAAAATAAAAATGAAAACGATTTTTTGGTTTAGTATAAAATAAAAAAGAAATGAAAAATAATTTTTAGTCGTTTTTCATTTTTTATTTTCGTTTTCTCTTCTCTCTAGTAAAGAGAGAGACATTAATAAATTTTTTAGACTAAAAATAATCTCTTAATAAAATTACCAAACATATTTTTAAAAATAATTTTTATTTAAAATTAAAAACATTTTTATTTTTATTTACATATAAAAAATAAAATTATTTTAAAATAAATTTCAAACGCACCTATAGTTTTTTCTTTTTTCTTCTTATTCATAGTACTTAATAATATTATACTACTATTACTAGCCTGCCTTAGCTCGTGGCATAAGCATTTGTTACCACTGCGAGTAGTACTACTATGCACACACTCTCTCTCTCTCTGTGCGCACTGCATTACTGCGTCGTACTAATACTACTACTGGGTTCCTCTTGCTATGTCCATTTCACTTCGTTTTTCGCTGCAACAGCAATAAGTTCTCACCTTTGAGACAAATTTGTTTTCTTTTTTCTTTTTCTTTTCAAAATAAAGAAAAAAGAGAAGAAGAAAAAGAAAGAAAAATACTAATGGCTGCCGCCGGTGCTGCTCCGGCAGGGCGGTCTTCGAACGTGCCGTCGCTGCCGCCGCCGTGTCCGAAGTCCCCACCGGCGTATCCGGATTTGTACGGGAAGCGCCGGGAAATGGCCAAAGTTCAGATGCTTGAGAGGGAGATTGGTTTTCTTCAGGTGTGTGTTTAACAAAAATATTTGTTTACTTCACAAGTTGTTTATTTTTTATTTTTGTTTTGGTTTAACGTGTAAATGGGGTCGATTATTGTTGTTAAATAATATGGTTTTCCCATGCTCTGTTAGGTCAGGGGATTTCAAAAACTGTTTGGTTTGCAAGTGGCAATTCTTGAGATTCCCTTTTTTTTTTTTTTTTTTTTTTTGGTGATCAACTAGGAGTGTTTGAGAGTGGAAATAAGCGTTTCGAAGTGTGATGTTAACATTTTTTTCCTTCTCAAATTCTGATCTAGGGGATATCTCACTTTGTTTATAAGAAAAATCACTTGAAGTTAAAACTTTTATTTTTGAACTCTAAACTTGTTCATGTAACTAAAATATTTTATATTCTTGTATGAGTCTTTATTAGTGTAACCAACAATAGAACTAGCGGAGTTATTCCTTTTCACAGAACGATTAGAAGTTTTCATTTTAGGCCCTTCAATTGCAAGCTAATGGTCTGTCTTTAGAGATCTTCTGGTTCTTATAATATGTTAGCTCTATTTCTATGTCTGATCTGTTGGTGTCGTTCCCAAGTTTTTGACCGGTTTTCGTTTAAGGAACAAGTTTCTTCTTTATTAACTCTTCTCATAAAGTTCCCACATACAAAAAAATTTCACTTGTTCTGTTACAGTTTTATGTTCTTATGACTAGGGAAGCATTTCATGTAATAACTTATGTTTGAGCAGGAAGAATTGAAATCTGCGGAGCGAATTCAACCCTCTTCGAGATGTTGCAAAGAGTAAGCTCATCAATCAGTTACAGGGCATTTCTTTTTTTTTTATATTTATGCTTCCATATATAGCCCACCTGTTGAAGATTGGATGTGATTATTTTGCAGGATAACTGAATTTGTGGTGTCAAATCCTGATCCTTTAATACCAACGTAAGATTACTTCTGATGATTTTTTTTTTTCAAACTCTTGAGATTGTTGTGTTATGATCCTTATATGATTTTCCCTTCAAGTAGAAATCGGAAAAAGCGCCGTTCATGTCGTTTCTGGAAATGGCTCTGGTATGTTCTGAATTATCTTGCAGTAATTCCTTCTTACGTTTAAACAAAAAGTACCGGACCATGAGTTTGAGCTTATCTGAAGCAAAACAGGAACAAATTAAGATTCTTTTTTTTTTCTGGTACCTTTAAAATTAGTAACAGTTAAGGACTAATGTCGGCACAAATTCTAGGCTCTCTCGGTTATATCTTGCATCTTAGATACAGAAAAAAGTTTATGTGATTGCATTTCCTATTTACAAGCCAAAATTCCAATTTGCTAGTTCAAACGTAATGCGGATGCTTCAGTGTCTAACACGAGAATGCTTGTTATGCAGTCGAATCCCGTGCTTCAACTTTTCATGGATTTGCTGTTGCTGCTCTCCCGGATGCTGCTCATGCTGCGCCATTCACCTAGAAATGCCGCGCTGCTGTGACTGCAACTGCAGTCCGTGCCATTGCCTGAAGTGCTGCAGTTGCCCTTCGTGTTTCACTTGTGCGTTACCAAAGTGGTGTTGCTGCCGGAGCAGCTGCTGCTGCTGCTGCTGCTCATGCCCCCGATCAAATTGCTGTAAAAACATCTCGTGCAGCAGAAATTGCTGCATTTTTTCCACCTGTTCACGCCCTGATTGCTCTTCCTGCAAATGCAAATGCAAATGCTCATGCACTTGTCCTACATGTCTATAGGTACCAGCTCTTGTTATTGTACAAAATTATGTTGTAATCTTTTGCTATTTGATGTTCCTTGTATTCATCCTATATTCTACAAATGCATCATGCTTAAGTTCTATCTAGAATATAATTTTGCAAATACTAGTGTTGGAAGGAATTTTATTTTTCCGGGGCCGGAAAGGAAATATCAGGAAGTTGCGCTTTGGATTATTGGAGGAATTTCTGCAGTGTAAATAAATGGATTGTTCAATGCAATTTCAACATCCAAATGACATGATAGATAAGTTGGAATTTTGGGGTCTTTAAATAGTCATGACAAGACTGAACACAATCAAATTAAGATATAATGATATAAGAAATGTGGCATAGAATTAAATGCTTTGGTTTTGTTGTCTGTTTTGGGAACTACTTAGTGGCCATGGTTACACTTAATACAAAGGTTAGAATTTTGTTTTTTGTTTTTTTTCCTTTCAGATTTAGCAACAGTTACTCTGACATGGATAGGTTTTTGGGTTTATTGGCAATAATAATTCTTCCACTCTGACCTCCATAATTTACATTCGTGGCCCTACAGCCAGATTCATAATTGATTCAGATCATCAAAATGACAGGCTTTTTGATGGTTGAGTTGAAAAACTAAAGCTACACGACAGGCCCATGTTCGAGGCTGATTCCCTTGTAATGAGTGTTTCAGTAGAAATCCAACACACAGCCCAAGGGTGTAGGGCAGATGTTCATGTAGTGTTTCACTTCCGTTTCTATATATAGAAGGATGCAAAATGAAAGCCCTCTTTCGTTTCATATTGTCTACACCAAACTTTGACACAAAATTGTGGCGTTATTGTTTCACTATTTGCTACGATTTTAACCTTGGAATTCGGTGAATGATGTTTTTACTTTGGTATTGGAAAAGACTTGACTTGCTAGTACAAATGGTGAAAAACTCTGGCTTCACGTAAAAATAAAAATTTCTCCATCTTGCAAGTAACAACGTTTTGACTGTCATACACAGGGATAAAACACTGTTATGTCATTGTATCAGAAAATTAGATTAAGAAGTAGAACTTATTTGCAAATTCCTTTTTATAAGAACTTCTTCCACCCCATTTTCTGAAATGCTTACAATTGCAAAAAAACCCAAATACTTTTTTTTTTCCGGTTTTAAAATCACTAGAGATCAGGGCCTTCTTTTTTGGGCCGCTGTTTCCCTCTTGCCAAATAGCCACAAAGACTATCACCACGCCAAAGAAAAACCCAAAGGGGGAACCAACAGTTAAAAAGGCACCAAACTATTTTCAATCTTACAACTGCGTCCATGCGAAAGCAGCCGGGCTTCTGACTTGATGCTCGGCGTTGCTCCAGACGATCGACCCGAACTCGGACCTTGACGTCCGGGCTGCACCTCTGCTGGCCACAAAGGTCACGGTGTACCTCAGCCTCTCCCCAACGCTTTTAAACGCAAGCTTGGCGGGCTTAACAGTGACTTTCACTGTCGGAGGTGCATTCACAGCCACCGTGTACACAGAAGCTGCAGCTCCCACATTGGTCAACCGACGAGTGTAGCGAACAACCCTCTTGTTCGCAAACAGGACGGAGAATGAAGGGTAGTTAAGAGCGCCGGGATCGGAGAACTTCTTGGAGCAGGTGAAGTTGCGGTGCTTGACAATGGTCTGGATGTGATCAGTTGTGTAGTCCAAGGAGCACAAGAAGTTGATGTACTCATCTACCGATATGTCGTAGACCAGGCCGGGTGAGAGGGCTTTCTGGGGGTCAACGTGGCCCGCCCCGTGAGCCCATGGGGTGGAGACTTGATCTCCTTCTGCATCCCTGAGTGGGGACTTGGTGTTGTCTGTTACATAGGCAGTTGTCATTAGCGCTGATTTGATTGCACTTGGGCTCCAGTCTGGATGAGCCGCTTTTAGTAGTGCAGCTAGACCACTAATGTGTGGGCATGACATTGATGTACCTGCATTTTTCCACCCAGAGACAATACATATCAGATATATAGCTCAGATGGTGGCTCTACAATTATAAACAAAAAACAACAGTAGATAATCTTCTTCCTTTCACCATAAACTCTCTCCTCCAATCCCAAGAGATTTTTATTTTTATTTTTTTATTTTTATTTTTTTTACTTTTTCCTAATTCGTTTCACTTTAGTTATGTATCAACAAATTAGACAATAAATCCATTGCAGCCTGACAATACAAGGATTAGTAAAAAGTAAACACCTTAAAATGGATAACTAGACAATAAAAAGGAACAAAATTGATTAATCCATTGAAGCCTGTTACACTAAGGTCCCTACAACACATACAGTCAAATTACCAAATACTTTTTCTTATTGTGAAATATACAGCCCAAGTGTGTATACGAACATTATTATTTACTATTACAAGTCAATCTACAATTTTACCAGAACAAATAGATTAACTATTCGACAACAAACCAATTAGTCAATTCTTCAGAAAAAAAATGCTGATATGTAATTATTCTCCTCAAGGCCAAGCACTTGACTATAATAAAGAGACTAGCATCTGCTATGAATTGACTAACAAAATTATATCCTTTTTAATGCAAAAATAATTGGGGGGCTTAGTTTCCACATCAGAACATGATGATACCATAATTGTACGATATTATTGGTTGACAAGTACGTAAATAACTGAAATTATAGCCGTTAGAAATTGAATATAACATTTACATTACATACCTGACATGATATTGAACTTGGTTTTCCTCGTGTCCTTCTCAAGCCCAGTGGGTCCAATCGCCTCCGACCACGCGGCCAAGATGTTCACCCCAGGTCCAATCACATCCGGCTTCAAGATCTGCGGCGTCACCAGGTTGGGTCCCCGGGAGCTGAACGCCGCCACCACCGGCGACGGCCGTACGTTCAGTACGGTCCCACCGAAGCTCAGCAACGCCGTCGGATTTGGATCCGACCGCACGTATTCCCTGATCTGGTCCCCGACCTTCATCCCCACCGCAACCGCCGGCGACAGGTGGCTGTCGGCCACCAACTCCTCGCCGCTCGCGGCGGTGTTTGCTAGAATCATCCCGATCCCGCCTGCTTCGCGCACGACCGCGCCTTTCTCCACGCGCGCGTTAACGCCCCTATCGCACAACACCACTTTCCCACGTACAACTTCCGGTTCGAGCGAACCGGCCAAGCACAAGTTCCCACTGCTGCTGTTGGCCCCCTTGCTGTAAACCAAACCGACCGGTTTATCCCCCATTCCTGGTCCGCTATAGAGGGAAACACCAGTGAACCGGTTTTTGTTCCCGAGCACAGCGTAGGCCGGGAAATCACGATCCAAAGTGCCGGCCCCGACCGTCATGATCCACGGAGCCACATTTGCCAGCGAAGCCCTGCTGGGCCCACTATTCCCGGCGGAGCAGGAGACGAATATCCCCTTCTCCACGGCTGAGAAAGCACCGATGGCGATGGTGTCGTGATAATACGGAGCGGAGCCGCCGCCGAGAGACATCGAGAGGACGTCGACGCCATCGGAGATCGCCCGATCTATACCAGCCAGAATGTCCGACCCGAAGCAGCCGGTGCTCCAGCAGACCTTGTAGGCCGCAACGCGCGCGCGCGTGGCCATCCCACGGGCCGTGCCGCTAGCGTATCCGAGGAGGCTCGCGTTCGCCACGTGAGAACCTGCGGCGGTGCTGGCCGTGTGGGTCCCGTGCCCGTCGCGGTCGCGCGGCGAGACGACCTCCTTCCGCTGCTTCCCGATGCTTCCTCCTCCGCTCGACATCTGGTACCCCTTCGAGAAGCTTCTCGCCCCGATGAGCTTCTTGTTGCAGAGTTTAGGATCGAAATCCGGCGCCGACTCGCACTCGCCTTTCCACCGCGCCGGGATCTCGGGCATTCCGGTTTCATCAAAACTCTTCGACTCCGGCCAAACGCCGGTGTCAAGAACTCCGACGATGACATCATCGGAGGCCTGGTTCACATCTTGCGCACTCAGTCCCTTGTCCACCGCCAAGCCCAAGAACTCCGGCGTCCGAGTGGTGTGGAGAGTGTAAACCGTGTCCTCGTAAACTCCGACGACGGAGTCGGACTTCCGAAGCAACTCGGCCTGGTCGGGATCGAGAGAGGCGGCGAAGCCATTGTAGGAGTTGGTGTAGGTGTAGAGGAGGGAATCTTCGGCGCTAGCGGAAAGGGACTGAAGATTGGCAGAGTACCAGTCATGGTGGGTCGCGTAGGCTAAGGGCTTGTCGTGGTTTTTCATGTGAACAATGTAGGTTCTCTTCTCTGAACGACATTGTTGAACGAGAAGAAGAAGAAGAAGAACAGAGAAGGAGAACCAGATTGGCTTAGCCATGGCAGAGAAAAGATATTTGGGATATTAAATGTGAAGAAAAAAAATGAAAAACAAAATGAGGAAAAGAACAGTCGCTAATGGCTGCGACTGTCAGAAGGATGGAAGGGAAGAGAGACTCATGTCGGGTTTATATACAGGTTCACTTAAATAAGGAGTTTGTTTCGTTTTTATTACTTAAATGCCATTATATTTCTTTTTTTTTTTGTGTGTGTGTAATTAAAAATATTTCAGAAAATGAGCATAGAAGTACCCAGAGGATGTTTGGTAGAGAAATTTATTTTCTGATACGAATTATGATTTATGGTTCGTTACAGTATTTTTTCTCATAAAAAATTTACGTAAATTAAAAATGATTCGAATCACATAATTTAAATTCTCCAACCAAATGTACTCTTAATTAAACGCGTTTTTGGGAATAATTTCACGGGCTCTTTTTTCTTCTGTGTTTGAACTTGTGATTGTTTTTTTGGATTTTCAGAAGGAAATAAAAATTGTTTTTATTATATTTTGGACGGAGTGGAGTTTTTTTTTAAATTTTTTTATAAACTTCCATAAGAACAAAAGTACTTTTGTCTGGAAAACACATAGAGACACCATTACAGCTGGAGACACATAATCTGAAAGGCCCACCAATTAACCACTTCTATAGCTTTATTTACTGATTGGATCATCCGCTCATGTTTCTCTTGTTCTTTTGATTGAAACACTCTGTTATAGTGTATGTTTTAAGATATGGTAGAAAGAAAAAAGGGATTACGAAGTAGGCTTTATCATTTGAGTAGAATTTAATTAGATTTTTCTGTTTTATTAGTCAGTTTTAAAACTTTTAAAATTACAAATGAGATGGGTTCAAAATGACACTAATAATTTTTTTTATTAAACAAAAGATTATAAAATTAAAGACTCGTTTAGTTTGTTGATTCGAGTTTTTAATTTAAATTAATATGTGATTTTATATGAAAATATTTTACTGTAATAAAAAAATTAAATGTGATTATTTTTAAAATTTTTTTACTGTATTAAAATTTAAAATTTAAATTTAAATTAGTGAAATAAATGAAACATAATAAGACTTAATATAATACGATGGTTTGATAAAATAGATGGTGACCACTTTATCTTTTTGAAAATGTCTCGCTGTACTTTCTTTTGACCAAAGTAAACATCTCATTATATCACTTGGGTCTCCTTCTTCATGTTTATGAAACGCTTTTTTCTTTTTATGGGATTTTTATCTTGTAAAACTTTTAACTTTTTGCCAAATGACTATAAACAAGTTGAGTAACCGGAGTAATGTTTTTGTGACTAGTTTGGGTGACGGGGTGGCGGTGGCGGTGGCATGATTCGATATTAACTGTTGAAGCGGAGGGTGATTACGTAAAATAACTATAAGGCACGAGAATTAATAAGCAAGTCATACAATATAACAGGGTATGATTTTGTCTTTTTGTAAATATATTTTCTTTCAAATTTTTTTTTTTTTCTTTTTCTCTGAACTCGCGGCGGGCATTGGGACGAGTTTTAACCGATAAATAGTGCATGTGGCATAGCAGTCCACGCCATTTATGGAAAAGGATGGCCAATTAGTAACGGCTAGATTTAGAGGAGATTTGATTGGAGGATGATTTGAATCATGATTCATAGTTTGTTATAGTATTTTTTTTTTAAAAAAAAAAATACGTAAATAAAAAATAATTATAATCAGATGATTTTAATCTATAAATCAAACGTCTTCGTATTTTTTTTCTTTATTTTTTTCCTTTTATTATTATTATTATTTTTTTCTCTCAGGAGCGAGCTGGCCCTAACTCATTCCACCCACTTCTTTCTTTTCTTCTTCTCTCTTTGACTGTCGTTTTTTTCGTTTTTTTTTTTTTTTTTAACTTTCCGTTTCTGATTTTGAGTGATGCTCCTCTTTTGTTTTAACCGCAAAATAAGTGGCCACATGCTTTGCTCATGCACGATGTCCTTATCTTTCGTAGAAACTTGTCAGTTAAGCGTGCTCATAATACCTCATTACAAGGTAATCTTTCAGTTATTTTTTATTTATCCAAAAAAGAAAATAAATAAAGAAAAGGAAAACCTTTCAGTTTTTCTTTCACGCGCATTCACGGCTTAAATTATTTCGTTATTTTGCTTTTTTATATTTTAGACTAGTTAAATTGCGTGTTACACATACACGTAAAAAATAATTTTATAAGTCTGATCAATCATATAGAAGAATAATTAAAATTATTTAAGTTTTTTACTAAAAAAATTCAGTAAAGATGTATTTAAAAGATTATTTTAATTAAAAAAAAGAATTCTTTTATGTATGTTTAGATTATTCTTTTTTAAATATAAAACATGACAGTAGAAACACTCTTAAACGTTTCCATATATAATATTTTAATTTGATATTAACGCAACGCGATATGATTATGAGTTTATACAAGCAAAACAGAAAAAAATATTTATATATATATTTAAATTTAGTTTATGTTTCCTCTTGACCAAAACGGTCTCTTTTATGCATTTAGATTTAAGTTTTTAAAAGAAATTCAAGACTTGTTTGACGATTATAACGGCACAAATTAAAGACCTTTAATAGCTCAGAGTCTTCGTCACCTAAAATAGGGAGCATAAAATCAAGTCTCAACAATTAATATTAAGATGACGCACGGTTAAGACCTTCTTAATGCAAGTCTAGTAATCTTTGGGTATTTTAGGTAAAATTCATTAAAAAAAAGTTTTCCAATTCCACTAGAACTTTTCAATTATTTCCCATACGAGTAGAATCCTAACCGAGAAAAACTTTCTATGTTATAATCGTATTCAATTACTTGGTAGTACAATGAGAGCAAGTATACCATATATTTATTTATCAAAAAAAATAAATAAATAAATAAAGTGTTCATTCCTATTGGCTTCTAAAGAATAATTGCAACTCATTAGCTAGTTCTGAGCACTTTATTAGTTTATGATAAGGGAATCCAGCTTTTAACATGCCTGAATTATTAATTAACTAAAAAATAATAGTATTGCTTCAATTTGTCGCCCAATGGATCTAATCCGATTAACTTTTTGGATCCAAAATAAAGAATTAATACTTTTCAGTGGATATCGTATATTATTATACACATATATAGTCTCGTTCATTTAATCGATTTAAGTTTAGAATTCGTGTTTTGTTACAATAAAAAATTCTCAGAAATAATCACATCTAATTTTTTTATTACAGTAAAAAACTCTCAGATAAAGTTATATCTCAACTCAAATTAAAAATTTAAATTAACAAATTAAACAGACTCATAATGAATACGATAATTGTGCAAGCGCGTGCGAGCGTGTGTAGGTTGTTCAAGTAGGACAGAGTTTTTGTTTTGTTTTGTTGCAGGTAGGACAGAGTTTAAAAGTGCAATATTTTCTGGGATTTTTGTGTGTAATTGTGGGAACTGAAAGTGGGGCACACACATGACTGTTAAATGGTTGGTTAATTAATTAATCTGTAGCAACGGTGATGCTCTGGCCCATAACATATAACCGAAGATAGTGGCGCCAATTCAGCCAATTCTCTCTCTCTCTCTCTCCCATAATAATAGTAATAAAAAAATATATTCTAATAATGCTTTATGTTTTATGGAATAAATTGGTTTTTCAGAGCACATATACATATAGAAGAATAATTAAAATTATTTAAGTTTTTTACTAAAAAAATTCAGTAAAGATGTATTTAAAAGATTATTTTAATTAAAAAAAGAATAAAAAGATTAGAAATAAGTTAAGGAATACAAAATAGTAAAATGGAGAAGTTAACATAAAATAAAAAAGTACTAAAAAAGAGATGTTGACATGTGGCAGAAGAGAAGTAATTTTTTTTTGACTCTTTCATGTATGTTTATTCTTTTTTAAATATAAAACATGACGGTAGAAACACTCTTAAACATTTCCATATATAATATTTTAATTTGATATTAACGCAACGTGATATGATTATGAGTTTATACAAGCAAAACAGAAAAATATATTTATATATATATTTAAATTTAGTTTATGTTTCCTCTTGACCAAAACGGTCTCTTTTATGCATTTAGATTTAAGTTTTTAAAAGAAATTCAAGACTTGTTTGACGATTATAACGGCACAAATTAAAGACCTTTAATAGCTCAGAGTCTTCGTCACCTAAAATAGGGAGCATAAAATCAAGTCTCAACAATTAATATTAAGATGACGCACGGTTAAGACCTTCTTAATGCAAGTCTAGTAATCTTTGGGTATTTTAGGTAAAATTCATTAAAAAAAAGTTTTCCAATTCCACTAGAACTTTTCAATTATTTCCCATACGAGTAGAATCCTAACCGAGAAAAACTTTCTATGTTATAATCGTATTCAATTACTTGGTAGTACAATGAGAGCAAGTATACCATATATTTATTTATCAAAAAAAATAAATAAATAAATAAAGTGTTCATTCCTATTGGCTTCTAAAGAATAATTGCAACTCATTAGCTAGTTCTGAGCACTTTATTAGTTTATGATAAGGGAATCCAGCTTTTAACATGCCTGAATTATTAATTAACTAAAAAATAATAGTATTGCTTCAATTTGTCGCCCAATGGATCTAATCCGATTAACTTTTTGGATCCAAAATAAAGAATTAATACTTTTCAGTGGATATCGTATATTATTATACACATATATAGTCTCGTTCATTTAACCGATTTAAGTTTAGAATTCGTGTTTTGTTACAGTAAAAAATTCTCAGAAATAATCACATCTAATTTTTTTATTACAGTAAAAAACTCTCAGATAAAGTTATATCTCAACTCAAATTAAAAATTTAAATCAACAAATTAAACAGACTCATAATGAATACGATAATTGTGCAAGCGCGTGCGAGCGTGTGTAGGTTGTTCAAGTAGGACAGAGTTTTTGTTTTGTTTTGTTGCAGGTAGGACAGAGTTTAAAAGTGCAATATTTTCTGGGATTTTTGTGTGTAATTGTGGGAACTGAAAGTGGGGCACACACATGACTGTTAAATGGTTGGTTAATTAATTAATCTGTAGCAACGGTGATGCTCTGGCCCATAACATATAACCGAAGATAGTGGCGCCAATTCAGCCAA